AGGATTTTATTTTATTTCAATTATTAAACTGTTTTTATCTCAACCCATGAGTTTTTCTCACTTGTGCTCTCCCAATTCTCTTCCCCATCCCACCGGGGCGGGGGGGAGTGAGTGAGTGGCTGTGTGGTCCTCAGTTGCCGACTGAGGTTAAACCACGACAGAAGCCTTTTCTAATTTTGAAAACACAAAGGAATTCCATGAAAGATCACTAAAAACTATTACAGATATTTTGTACTGCTTTTTCTAAATATAAAAATGCAACCATAAGATTTGTAGAAATAAACGTGATATCCTTTGTCTTTGAGAATAGCACGTACCAGTCTTTCTGCAGTTGATATGTCTCTGAGAACATTAGCATGTTTCCATGCATACAGACTTCCACCTACCACTCTATTTAGTTTCTTTCTCCCACTCCAGGCTTCCAGTCCTAGCCTTGACAACCGTTTCCTTCTAGACTGAGCGCTAAGCAATCCAGCTGAGTCCGCAGTATTGCTGACTAGAAGGAAACTGTTGATTGTATTACTGCACCATGTTGTAGCTGCTCCTGCACCAGGCCAGGAAAGTTGGAATTTCTTGTCACTTTTCCCATATATAGCACGCCTGACCTGTTGTGATCCATTGACTTTAAAAAGGGTCTTCTACTAAAAGCAGTCTGAGCTACATTATGAACTCAATCCTATAAATACTTCCTATTGTTTTAAGAGTAAGTTTGTTCATTTGCTAAAGCAGTGCTATTACATTCCTAGTTTTAAAGACAGTGGGTTATAAATAAAACAAGAGTCATAAAAAAACCCCAAAATTATGCCTTTGTTTGTAGCTCATAAATTGCCATGTCAAATTAACAAGCTTTAGCCACGAGAATGGCAAAGAATCAAAGCAAGTCCCATGTACATTTACTTACCCTTTGCTGGCAGATCCATTTTATTTCTATGTTGAACCCAACATCTTCAGAAACAGACTCCAGGACCTGAAAAAATTTTCATTATGAAGAGACCCCACAGCAAAGGAGGACAACTAAGCACTATGTGGGTAATTACTGGGAGAATACATTGGAGTTTAATGTCAATGGGGTCTAACAGTAGAATAAAGAAACCTACATTTTTAACATTTAACACAAGATACATATACATCTTTTCCTCCTTCAGTTTAAAGTTAGGAAATACATAAAAATGGATAAAGTCTTAAGGACAAAATTTTGACAAGGTACAAATGCAAGTCAATTCACCTTAACATGCGTGAGAAATGCCTCATTTGTACTCCTAAAGAAGAAATGTTTTTTACTTCTTCAGGAAGTTTTTTTGAATGCAAAAAGCATCTTAAGTAACACGTAGTCCTAAGTATGAAATCCATGAGGTTGCCATTATGATGATGAGAACAAAAGTCTGTGAAATTCTTGTAAAGAATTAATTGTAAGGCAACTTCAAATCAAAAGGTGAAACTAACAGCTAATGAAATTAAGGAAACGTTGGTAGATTATTCTTTAACCCTATAAAGATGACAGGTACAGAAGAGAGTAACATACCCTTTCTTATAGGAAGAAAATTAAATTTGGGGAATCAAACTGGTAGAGGACTTGAACCTCAGTGGTTTAGTCTATTACACAAAGTTCTTTATTTTCTGTAGTTATGCAGTAATCTGATTAGACAGTAAAAAAAAAAAAAATACAGTGGAGCATATGACCTGTAACTTATGGCTATTTCATACATGTTCTGACATAAGCCTATAAATAACTGGATACTAATCATCTCTATAATCCAAATAAAAAGCAGTATTATTGTATAAAACAAGTCCCTAAAAGGCATGTTAATGAGCAGTTCAGACGTTGGGAAAAACAGTAAGGGGGGGGGGGAGAGAGCAGTTCTAGAAAAAAAAAACCACTGTAAATGGTATCAAACTGGTTTTGGTCAGTTGTCTCTGTGAAAAATAAGCCAACACAAAACCCAGAGTTGGCAAATAGTCATGAATGGGAACATACAAGAAATTCACTTATAATTTCTCTGTGTCTGGCTCTGCTGGATGGCCAAGAGTATGTGATGAACTGCCAAAGGCCAAGTTTTTTCCCAAAATCAGCAAACAATTGTCGATGCTTTAAAACTCAATGCCTAGATGCTAACCCGCTGTAAAACTGAGTGTATCCTGAGCTATACAACTTGGGTTCATGAATTAAGAAGCTTGAAAGATATTACTTTTAAACTGTTTTTTTAAACTATTACTTTTAGCTGCTGAAAAGGCTCCAGTGGCCAACAATAAAGCCTATGTTCTCAGTTCCAGCATTGATATTGGAGGCCTAAACCCAAAAATTAACATCCCTTGCTATGTGTGCAAAGCTGAAAGAAAAATGCATGTTTTCATGTTCCACAGTCATCATCTCTATTGCTCTACATTCGCTGCTTACTCTCTGCAGAGAAGGAAATGGCTGGGTCTCAAAAGCAGAGTTTTCTTCGTCTTTAAAAGATGCTGAAAAGAAATACAAAATACTGAATCAAAACAAATAGCACTGCTAATCCCAGCAAGAAAAGACTGGCTCAAAATCATAAGGCCTTTAAGAGTAAAGAATGGAATCAGGTCTTTCTTTTAATTACCTAAGCCTTCCCCCCCCCAACACTGACATACTCCAACAATGGTGTTGGCAATTTCTGTTTTGCAAGTGGGAGAGTTTTTTGACCCCCATTAAAAGCCTTGCCAGAATATTTATCAGAAGCAGCTTCTCCCATCCCTCACCATTTCAGTCACTGAATCACATCCAGTAGAAGCAGCCTTGCCTGTCAAGGCTTATTATTTATTTTATCTTTTCCCAGACAGGTAGGATGTGTGAGATACTTTGTCTGATTCTGCTGTCCCTATAAAGGCGATGAATTAACACCAAAAATTTACAGCACCAATAAGACACACTACAGCAGTTACCGAAGTTCTTGTTAGCAATTCTGAAGAGCTGCCAAAAAGGTACAGTTAGAGAAGCATAAGATGGAAACATTGGGAACAATTTTGTTAAGAATATTCATAAATATATATTTAGCTATGCATTCATCTTCTACCCTCCTGTCCCCTCTTCCCAAGGGAGTAACTCCCATCTGGGTATTTACTTCCCAGCAAAGAACTCTACAGCATGCACTAAATTAAAGTAACTACATAAGCATTTAGAAATGTTCATGAAGAAGCCAAATGTGATTAGAACAAGTGACTGCAACCACAGAATATATATCATTACATGGGAGTAAAATCTCAAGACTCTTGCAAACTAGTACATACCATTGTGATCTTTTACTTTCAGGGCAGTCACGTGAGCCAGCTAAAAAGCATAAGAGTAGTAAAATTAACAAATACTCCACCCATAGAGATCTTTTACTACATGTAAAATATAACTAATTTTCCTTACAAATTGTTTTTAAGTTTAAAGGTTTACAGTTTTAGTAATTTGTAAAAGAACAAAGGAAATACTAGTACGCATCACAATTTTCTTTCAAACTTTAAAACATAAAGATTCCAAGGAAAGCTCAAAAACAAACTGAAAATGTTCTTACTGAAAATTCAGAAAAGATGTTGAAGGGTAGAAACACACATAATATAATTTAACATGTGAAGAAATCTGAACATTAAATCCTTCTCTGTCAGATGTTAAGACTCCGTGTTTCCAATCAAGTGCAGACAGAGGGCCAACAGCGGTTTTATAATGTAGTCACATACTGAGATAGAATCAGGCCAGGCATAGGACCAACTCCCTCGCTCCATTCAAATTCTCTCTCCACAAAAAGGAGGAGACCAAGTAATTTTAAGTAAAAATACAGCTCTTGGATCAGCCAGGTGCTTCCTTGACTGAGGACAGATATCTCAGCTGGGTCTTTAGTGGCCCAGTCTCATCCCCTGACCCCCTTTTTACGTAGGCCAGGCACTTCTGTTTGAAAGATAGTGATAACCAATTAAAAAAAAAAAAAAACCAACAATCAATTAGTTCTAGCCAGTTTGTCCAGTCCATACCATTGAGTCATGGACCCTTCTACACCTCCACATGCACCGCCAAAGAGGAGTTCAACATAATCTGGATCTCCCTTGTTAACAGGGAAACATTTGAAAATTAGATAGACTTCATGACAAATATCTTTCTTCTTCAACAAAGACTCCAAAGCATTGGCTTTCAATGAACACTACCACCACTTTCAGCCTTTCTTTTTTTAATTATCAATGTTAGCATAATGATATGGATCTACACAAGTTGTCAGACCATCTTTCTAGAAGGTAAGTAAATGGCATTTATTCAAGTTGTAATGATGGTGCAAAAGTACTATTCTTGGAATTAGCTACTTGGTTCTACTTGTACAATTTTTAAAACTTGACCTCTCCCAATCTGTAGTTACTCCAAAAAAAAATCTAAGCTTCATACGCAATTTGAAAATTCTACACATAGCATATCATAGTGGCCAAAGAACAATACCTTCAATAACTGTAGCTGATCAAACGTGAGTTCTTTGACTGCAATCTCAAACAGTTCCAAAGGCTCCGTATCCAGTTTCTTTGAAGAGAAATAATACATAACTAAGCATTGGACAGGCTGCCCAGGGAAGTAGTTGAGTCACCATCCCTGGAGGTATTTAAAAGACATGTAGACGTGGCACTTAGGGACAAGGTTTAGCGGTGGACTTGGCAGTGTTAGGTTTACAGTTGGACTCAGTGATCTTAAAGGTCTCTTCCAACCTAAATGATTCTATGATCACTGAAAACTACAAAAAAGCCTACATGCTTTGAATATGGTAACATTAAAGGCAAGTAATTTTTTCTCTTTTATTGATAAAGATACAAGTGATATCTTATTATAGCAAGAGTAAGATGATCAGTTTTCAGGAGACAACACAGGCACTCAGAAGAATGAAACAAGTGTCAATTTGAAAAAAAACAGGATTTGGTCTTTCATGCAAGTCAGACACCTCAATGTTCTTTCTTCAGAAAAGGTTAGCACATTTATTCTGTAAAAACTTGATCAGTTAATGTATTCAGGAAAAAAGTTTGCAAGTAAAGAAATGCATTAAAAAATACTCCAAGGCAGCTCAATTATTGTCTATCCAATGTCTCAGAAACTAATAAAAAAAAGACAAGTGTCCTGGTAAAACTGAGACACGCATACCCTGCCCCCAAACTAAAGATCTGGTGTTGAAAAAATTCTGTCAATCCATTTTTCACTTCCCCTCTTCACTATAAAGACATTTTTACTCAACAATACTGATTCAATATACACTGAATATGCATTTCCCTTAGTCAAAGTTCCATTTCCACAACTGTTCAAAACCAAACTTCTTATAAATTGCAATATTGCAACAGGTGTGAGAATTTGATGACACAGACTTAGTGCCAAGAAGAAAGAGAGAACTTATCTTGCAGTCTGCTCTGCCATGCTATCTTTCTTTTCACTGCCAGAACTAGAAAGGAAGAAAACTAGAACAGAGTCCAACCTCTTTGCACTGCTGCTGAATGCAACTATTCTGGCCTCAGTGGAGAACATGCAACAGACCAGATGGAAAAGCACCTCAGTGGGTTTTTTTAGTCACCGGTCCTTATGCCTATGGTTCTCTCGATATTAAGGAGTGTCATGTCACTTTACTCCATGAAAACATTCAATTGTTATGCTTCATAAAACTTGGGTATTTAAGAGGTATTGTGATAGTCTGTTCAGAGCACCTTTTAAGGAATGCTTATCTGTACATACGAGTAACAGTACTGTTCACTGCTTCTTATGTTATAGTACTCTTGACGCTTACAGAAACAGCAGAAAAGAGTTTTTGGTTAAAAAAGAAGGAACAACTGCAACCTCATGAGGTAAGCAAGGAAAGGAACACGACACTTGCTTTCAGGAGCCATTTTCCTGCTCCTAGAACCTCTGTCTTCACTCCTTTCCTTCTGTTCCACTGAGCAATCCAAAAGCAGTTCTTCAGCCTCACTTACTGTCCCAACAAGACATGAAATATACTGTTTACCTCACAGTTAAAGGACAGAGCAAAATGCAGAAGTAAAAGGGTTAAAGAAAGTTAGAAAAACTAATGGAAGCCAAGCCATTTGTGGCTAATCAAACCCCCTAAATGACAGAGATCCCTGTTTCTTCCACTTTTCTGCTTTCCATCTACTGGCCACTACTGGGATACCAAACAAGATAGGCTTTGGTTTGACCTAAAGAGCATTTATGAGTACGTAACTGCTTAAGAGAAGTATACATTTAAGTATCAGCAGGAGTGAGAAATCATGCTGAGAATTACACTAACTGTCCCTCAAAAAAGAAACAACTAGAAGTTCTGACTCTGACAGTCTAAGAGAGTCCCAGAGGTGCTACTGAATATAGTGGAGTTGTCTGCATTTTTCTTCCAAACCATAAATTAAAAAAACCTAAAAAAATAACTACAATGTAGGCTTGAAGAGTCTCAAACCATGCATCTGAAATGCTGTTGCTACAACATCAAAAGGAAAAACAACTTCCCTGCTCTACTTTATACACACAGTAATGCTGCATATTTCTTCCCTTTCCATCCCTTGATTCCCCAGAATTATTTCTATGAAAGCTTGGCATTTTAGTTTCTGGAATGGTTGCATTTAAAGATAAGATACAGATATCATCATCTTTACCTTTTTCATGGCCATGCAACATGTGAGATCGTGGTATACAATAGGCACATGATCTTTAGAAAGATGTACATCAAATTCCACATATGCTGCTCCCTACAGAAAATTGAAAAACACACAGAATAAAACAAAAACCAATTAACTATTTATGCACAAGGACTACAGAACTGCAGACAAGTTGCCAAGTATTCACAGGTCCTGGACATCAACCAGAAGTTGAATGCAACTGGCTATTACCAGTTTATCTATACTCAACAATGGATTAGAAATGAAAAAAAAAAATCATATGGGAAAGTATTTTAAATTACCATAATGCAGCTCTGATATATATATATATATATATATATAGTTATATCTCTCCATATAACAACGGTATTTTTCCAATATATATATATATATAAAACTTGCTTAATCTTGTAAACCCTCTAGTAACATTCAAGTACTGTAAACTTGATTTCAGAGAAAGGCTAAGATGATGTTTTTAAACACAGATGCCTTCGCGGTGCCCTTCCTCCCTCCTCCCCAACACCCCACCAAGAGACAAGTGATTGCTACAAATTGGCAAAGCTTTAGGGAGATATTCCATATACTGAGGAGCTTCTGCAGTCGCTAGTGAGTAACACAGTAGTAGCGTGTTATAACATGTGCAAGAGCAGAAATAGCTACATCCAGTATTCTCCTATCCTTTACAACTGTATGTTATTTTCTGTGAAGCTTAAAAAGGAAGAAAGATCAAACGAGCTCTAAGTACAATCTTTTTGAAAAGAGGGAGAGCCGGAAAGACAGAAATAAACACACAGAAACAATTTTTTTTTTACTTATTCTCACTGTCCGTAATTCATTCCTTTGAAAGGCCTCCAAGAATACTATTCATCAAATTATCATCCTGACTTGCTTACTCTTTTTCAATCAGTACAGAAAGAAAATAGGACAGGCTTTTTTCAGCCCTTTTCTCAGCAGAAATATTTTTAGAGTGGTGGCTTTCAGCCTTTTCTATCTGCAAATAATTGAAACTACTTTTCTGGTGATGTTGCTGATGACTTCATAGTAAATTTCTGCCTCAATGCATACTTCTTGTGGGCTTTTTGAAAGCTGTCTATAAACCTGCAGCATCCACCCAGAAATGAAAAATTACTGTTCAAAAGGATCATTTAGTAGCTGCAGTTTTCTTTTGCTCTGCAGCCAGCCACTGTTCAAATTATACCCTGACTCCCAAACGAGAGAAAGCTTTCAGTATGACTCTTGGGGAGTACAGTACTCCAGAATCAGTAGCCAATAAGCATAATACTCTAGATGCTGCTCCCATCCCTTTAACAACTTCAAAAGATGTTTGGTAAGAATCTACATTAGTGAAGAAGTACCTGAAAAGGCTTAGGAACCCTACAAGTTAAGCGGCAGGTGATCTCACAGCAGCATCTTTACATAACTAACCACAGCTCTTCACTGTGAAAACAGGAGCTAGACAAGGAACCTCTGAATGTGCTTCTGACTCCAGCTACTCTGCTGCAGTGTCTCACTAGATTGTCTAGATCAATCTTATCACAGATCACTTCAGTGACCAAGATTATTGGAAGGAATAAAAGTGACCACCTCAATCACAGAATTTAATCACCTGAAGCTAGCTAGTATCTCCCAAATTGAAAGTCTCATCTTAGGATTTAAAGTCTTCATTGTAGCAAGCACTGAAACAAAGGATTGTTTTATTCTACCAGCTCAGCTCCCAAGTCTGATTTTTGGACACCAATTTTAGGTACTCAGCAGTTCCTGAGCGACACCTTTGCCACCTCAGACTATGCTGACAGACTCTAGCAGAGCTAAAATTTTATTCATTTGTTCAAAATTATTCCAACCCTATGTCTCTGCAGGGTTGAGATTAAAATTTTCCCTGTATTAGAACACCATCAGAACTTATTAGATCAAAGTTGGGTTTTTCTTGAGGAACTTAAGAATGAGAGTCTAATCTAGCTATTACTTCCCTTCCTATCTCTCAGGGAATTTCCACAGTGATTTGATGTAATTTTTTATCAGTTGAATTACCATTCGTTGTATTGAATCATGGAAATTAAGCACACAAGCCGAGCAAGTTTTAACTATACGGGTACTATGTGCGTGCAAATGTGCATACATACATGACTAGCAGCATTCCTCAGAGAGGCAATAGTGTTCTCTTGAACTTTAGCAAGTCTGAAATAACAGCAAAGAAAAAGGTTTTGTTAGATGCAGCATAGCACAGAAGTCCACTGAAACAACAGAAATACAAATCAGAAGTCTCTGTTTTACAGAACATCCACGTTTGATATTGAAGTGACTAAAATGATTATGGGTTGTAGCTTTTTATTTTAAACTGTCCACTTCCTCAACTGATGTCAGTGAAACTAAAATAACACACACCCCCAGATTAAAATGCAAATGAACTTACTTAGCTGTTGTTGTAGAATTTCCTGCTCCCCTATGTCCAACATCTAGAGTTGTTCTTGGTTTCCAATATTTTGCATATGAAGCCTTCATATCACAACTGTATCCCTGGATCGGCTTAATAATTATGTAGTCCACTACAAGAAAAATACCAAATGCTTCACATGTCAATAGATAATGGATGACTTCCAGTAAAGTTATCTACATCTGTTTGCATCAACTGTACCTCTAACTTTTCCAATTGTCTTCCTTGGATTTCTGCTCATAATAGCAAGTGTAAGAATTCCAGCACTCTTCCCAAGCTCTGCAATTGTGGATGACAGGAGGCAGGCAGAACCTACATGACCTGGGAGCGCATCACCTTGTACTACTTTCTCACCTAAATCTTCCTAAAAACAAAACAAACAAAAAACCAAAACACCTACTGTTATAGGTAGGTGAGAATGCTAAACAAACTCTTCTTTCTCATGGAAACCTTGCTCCTCAGGAAGATATATACAGAAATTTCTTGTGTGTTACAGAAAACATTGATTTCAGGCTAAAAATTGTTTAATATAACAGTGTGTTGCAAGTTATGATCAGGAATATGAAATTGTTGATGGACATCTAGGAAGTCATGTACATTTGTCTTTGAAAACTCTTAGATTTTCAGCTTTTCAGATCAAAGTTGCATGCGTAGAATAGTCTGTCTTCTAAAAAGCCCAAGTCATGTTTAGAACAAAGATGAACGGGAATAATATATATGCTTAATATAAGGTTATATTCATTTGCAGGGAAGGAAGAGGGCAACTAGCAAGCAGAACATATATTTCTTGACCATCATCAGGTTCAGGAACTATGTAGTCACCTTACAATTATGAACGTAAGTGATCTAAAGGTATTTTTAGACTGAAGAGAGAATGCTTAAAACTTTCTTCTGCATAAACAGTATGAAGAGACAAAAGTTGCTATTAAAAAGGACTTTGAATATTAAAATCTTTCAGAAAAAAATACAGTGCAAAATAACAGCTGTAGTAGTGAGAATCAGCAAGCACCCAGTTTTAATTTGCGCTAGTCAGTGCAGAGAAATCTCTTTGTTTATAACTTAAAAAATCAAGATCAAATAGTTGTAATTTAACTAGTTCATATACACATTGTTCAGATTAAAAAAGGATAAGCAAAACTGATCTCTGATAAAGGATAAAAATCAAGCCGACCTAACTACATGTAGTACCGTACACCAAGATTTGAGTCTTATTTGTACTTCTAAATAAGCAGAAACTGCAAAGCTTTCCATGCCATACCAAGAAGACTCACAAAACCTTTCTGCAAAATGGGGCAGTAGCCAACAGCCTTGTGGCTTTGTTTACACAAGTCCAAAAGATCAAGAATATCAGGCAATAGCCCTATCCTAATAGTGAAACCTTCATGGTAATTAACTCCTTTAACTCCTGAAGGCAGACTGGAGTTGCTTCTCAGTGGTAAAGAGACATACCTCAAAAAAATCAAAGATTAATTCCAAGTTATCAGGCTCCATGGTTTGTATAGTGTATTCTATCCATCGGTCTGGCTGCAAAGCGTAGCCACAGTCTGGCTGAGAGTGTCGACATTTATATTCGTTGTTACTTATTAAGGAGAACTCCACAGTGTTTGCCATTTTCTGAGGGACAGTAGGGGATGTTTTCTCTTGGCCCTCTTCGTCATCCTCATCTTCCTCTAGGCCTTCTAGAGTCAATTTTACTCTACTCAACCAGAAATACAAAACAAATGGTTAAGTCACAGGAGTGTCTTTGGAAATAATGAAGAATTAGAAAGAAGCTTGAGCAGAAGCTCATACAACAGCACAAGAATTCTTCTCAACACCACCATCTACAGTGTACACAGTGGGCCCTCACAAAAGGCAGAGTTTGCAACTGTTGTCTAAATCTTATTTTAGTCAGATTTAAGTGCTCAAGTCACTTCCAAAACTGGAACTTGGATAAATGTAAAAACTGTACTAATGGTCTGAGAAGCAGCACTCCACCAAACTAACGATCTGGGTTGCCAAACAGACAGCCTTTCTCCAGAGATTTATACCCATAATGCCAAAAGGCTAATGAAAAGCACTGAAAATAGCAGTAATCATCAAGATCAACACCTGAACGTTGGTGGCTGCTGATACAACTATAAGTCTCTCTGAACACCAATAAGGCAGATAAATGTATTCTATTAGACATAAACAAGATAGTCTGAAGTAATTAGTAAGTCCCTTGAGAAATCCTAAATGATCATTTAAAAGTAAACTGAATGCAATTTCTGAAAAATCCTGGACTGAGAAGAATAAGCCTCCCTAAGACTCAGAATTCATTTTATAGAGCAAACCTTCCAAACAGAATGAATTATGCCAGTGACGGAAGCATATATGAGTAATCCAAATCCCTTTCTGAATCATCTAAGCAACAGATGGGATAAAGAGTTATCATGTAGTTAGATGTCCATTCACTAGTAAAACTGAAGTTGTATTTCAAAGAAACAATTACAATCATAGAAATCCTTTACACTAAGTCCACATTCTTAATACCCTCATAAAAAAAGTCACAACACAGATGCTCCACAAACTTGAAAAATGACACTGCCATAGCAAGTGACAGTCACAAAAACTACCTAACTTTTTAGGCAGAACGTGGAAAACAGTATCTAATGAGTGCATCCAGCTTATCAAGTTTGGATTTCAACTGTCTAATTTAGACAAAGATCAGGCTTCAGAAATTGCTATCTCTCTACCTGCTGTAACACACAAGGAAAAATTGCAAAGCTCTAGAGAACAGGACGTAAGTATTAATTCTCACTGAAGAATGTTGTATTAAATAAACTTTCCCCTCATCAGAAGAGTTGGGGGGGGGCGGCACGTGGGGGAAGGATAAAAATAATTTAAAAAAAAAATCAAGTGTCAGACCATCAAAATAAGGCACACAGTACAGAATTAACTCCCAGGTTAACTGAGTGATCTGTAAATAACTTTGATAGTGGTGTGCTGGAAGTTGCTCATATGTTACAAGCTCAAAATCTGGTTTCTAGCAATTGAATACAAAATTGTTTGGTTTTGGTTTTTTTAAATGTTTTCCATCAAAGAAAAACAGGGAACCACAATCCTTTCCAAACAAGAAGATGGATTGTATGCAAGATTAGGAGTGGGAGAAATACTGTTAGTCTGTCAAAGGATCTGAGCACTCCTGCTCCCCTCTTTCCCATTGGTAAGAGTAACACATGGCTAACATACTACCTAAAAATTGCTGCTGTGAAAAAGCACTTTTTCTGAGGATTGTTAGTAGCAACAATCATCATGCATTCAGAGATGTGTCAGGCTCTAGTTAAGGAGGAAAGGTTTTTATACATCTCAACTCTTCCCTCCCCCCCAAAAAAAAAGACCGTGAAAGATACAGAAAACAAGCTTACACCACACAGTACAACGATATGTGCTGGGATAAAGCTTGGCAACCACAGAGCTCAAAAAAAAAACCAAACCCAAAACCAACCCCAAAAAACCACCCAACCAACCACCACATGCAGCAAGGAAAGGGGCCGGGGGCAGGGTGGGGGGAAGAGGGGCAGGGAAGAGAGAGCAAGCTCCAGATCCCAGAAATTCAAGAGGGGAAGGAGATCAAACACTCAGGGCAATAGCACAGTCCTCAAAACATCAGGACTAAGATACCCATTTCCGTCAGTCAACTGTATAGTTATAATAATGCCTGCTTTTTGAGACACCTCTACAGATAAAAAACATCAAACTGACCTAAATAGCAACAGAAGTGATTAGAGAATGCTGTTATCTCCACCATCAATGTTGACTGGAAATCTGTAATGCCAGTGGAGTATTAACTATATATTAAATGGAAAGGGCTGTTTACTTTGGTAAGGAGAAAAAGTAGTAAGCAACAAAAAACCAGGAAGCCTTCTCCCTTTCCTTTCCCCCAACTTCCACTTCCATTCTGCTCTTTTCAAGAAGTTAAGAGAAAAGAACAAAGATGAAAACTCTCTGAAAGTAACAGCAGAGAACTACTTCAGAACACTACAGTTCCAGCCAAGAAGCAGGAAACACCAAGGCAAGTATGGAATAAGTATTTGTGAAAGACACCTGTTACCTACTGCTTAACTTGTGCTATCACATCTGCTTTATACATATTTAGTAGCTTAATAACTATCAGAAAAGCAAGAACCAAAAAGTATTAAGTCAGCAGTGAAACTAGAACAGTTTTGACTGTTTGTCTTCCCTTGTTGAAACAGAAGAAACTCTTTTCACACTACATTAATAATAAAATGAGGTAACTGAAACACACCACTGATTTAACGTTAGCACCGTATTTTTACAAAGTGCCTAAATACTTGGAAATTGGCCTGATAGTACACCCCTATTAGCAACCCAAAATTAATTGAAAGGCTACATTAATTAAGAAAAAAAGAATCACTAGTATTGACAATTAACATCAGATAAATTGCAAACTGAGATGAGCAGGCTCTTACCTAAACCTTGATGTTTTGAATTTCTTCTTCGATATCACTACAGGTGGTTTCTCAGAATAATGCAGACGTAATCTTATTTCTGTTTGACAAGTCAGCCACCCAGCATCCACAGTTTCAATACCATCTATCAAAAATTAAACAAAAAGTAGAAGACACTTTAATAACTTATTTTAGGGAAATCTAGACAGTTTAACATACAAAATATAAATACAGTTCCTCTGACACCATCTTCCAGACAATCCTCCTTATCACCGGCCTTATTCAATAATATTTCCAGAGCAATTGTTGAGTACATCCTTTCACCTGTCTTTTCTGAACTACCCAGAATAAACAACAGATACTGCAGTTGTTTGCTGGCTTTTAAGGAGATTAAATAGGAACAATGATCCTCACCAGATTCATGTCTAAACTGTCTGCAGGAGAGCACTAAGTATTCCAGTGTTAATTTTATTCATGGAATCAAGGGCTAAGTTAAGTCTCCAAAGGCAGACATAACATTCCCTTGTCCTGGGATCTCCCAACACATGGAGTAACACTGACAAAAACTCTGAAGATTCATAAGCAACTTGAGACTCCCTGTTTCTATTGAGATACAGGTGTCAAATTAGCTTATCATAATCAATGCCAGTAAAGCAGTGTAAGTCTGCAGGACAGGATATAGCAACAGATATGATGGGGAATCAAAGCATGGAGGAGAATCCTCAACCTCACCACCAGGACAAGGAAAGCCTACAAGCAGGATGGCCAGAAAGCCCAAGCTGCCAGACCAGGTGCTGAAGCAGACCCTGCAGTTTTGAAGAGTTCCTAGCAAAACGTATCATTCGATAAGGATATGAAGAAAAATGAAAGAGCTTTAAGACAAGATGTATGAGACATGACAAAGAGTTATCTCAGGCACCACAGGATTGAGCTTTAAGTGACAGGTGGGTTAGAACTGCCAAAAGTGAGACATACGCACACAAAAAGAACATGAGGTTTGAGCTTATGAGAGGTTTTGGCAGTTACGTGCCTAACTGAAGAGGCAGATTGTGTACATTTAGTGTAAGTGATAATATTTTTCTAGGCACAAAGAGTTTTTTCTAAGGCCAGGTTTTAAGAGAAAGCTAATATTCTATTCTGTATTTCCAAAAAACACATGCTCATGATCTAAAGTTTGCAAATTTCAACCTTTAACACCAGCACACTGACAATATTTCAACTCTTCCTAGCAGTCTTTTATTAACACCAGAAGGGATTTCCGCCTGAGTGTGAATTCACAAATGCTGGATATAAAAATAACCATATAAGCAGAGAAAACAATCACTTACAGGCAAGTCCTGTCACAACTAACTTAGTATTTCAAATATTTTTTCAACTACAACACTTAATCTTGTTAAAATTAAATACATGGTAAAGAGTGAAGGTCAATATATCTCACTTACTACGGATTCCAAAGTATCCATCATCAATTGTAATTTCATTTTCTAGAATTAAAAGGAGGGGAAAAGAATGAAAGAAACTAATTAGTATTCACATTATAAAAAATCATTGCCAAGTTAGATTAATCTACTTTTCCACTTCACTTCTAAAAAGTATATCTAATTAAAACGTAGGAAAACTGAAACAGACAAAGAATAAACATGTTTACTGCAACCTTCTATAAAGCTTTTTCCCAATTTATGCTTTTTCTTAGTTTCTGCAAGAAAAACCAAATCAACACACAAGATGCCATGTTTTACCTGAAGTAATCTGAACTGAGAAAAGCAAGAAGGTTGCATAATTTCCTAGTTTGCTGCAGTATTTTGCTGATAATATCTACATCCTACTATGATCTAAGATGCTTTTCTTGTTAGTGTCAAAGACATTAAAGTTTCTTGCAAACATACAAGAAAACTGCTTCTAAATCAAGTTAGTCACAATTAAAATGCTTATTCTGCCCACGTGACAGAAACCAACCTAGGATGAAATATTCAAAACACTCATTTCACACTTACTTTTATCCTCACCCTCTCCAAAGTTTTAATAACTGAAATCTTAAGACACTAAGTAAATTCACCAGCATTAACAGAATTGCAGTAGTCTAAACAAACTGTAAGTTTCTTAAAACATAAATCTTAACAAAATTTTGTCTCTACAGCCATTAATCCCATTTTTTTCCTAAGAATCATGGGCCTGCCCTCAATTTTTAATAACCACAGGCAACAATTTAGGATCATAATGACCAAGTGCTAACATCCTGGTTTTGATGCATTTTCTTAAAGACTGCTTATGAAGCATTGAGTATTACTGGGGGGAGGGGGGGGAATCCTAACTGTTTGGAATGAAGTTATCCAAATTTAGAGATAGTCTAGACCCTAACAGAGGGTAGGCTGCTTCGTTAATCAGTTACTGAAAAATACAGAAACATAATCTTGTTACAGGAATAGAAACACTTAACTAATTCAATTGAAATAAAAAAAAAAAGGGGGGGGGGGGAGGGAAACGTGATCATGGTACTACTCATGATTAACAAACAGTTTCTTTAATACCAGCTTCTTTCTAAAAGACATTTTTTCAATATATCAGAAGGTATTTAATAGATGTAAACTCCTAAGCGTAGAGGAAATAACATTTTGCATATCCTAGGAAAGACAGCGCATGAAACATGCCATCCCATAGCAGCAGAAGAGATCTAAATTACAAGCTACATTCAAAGGTTATTTCAGTCACTCTTAAAAACCAAACTTTTCCCCTGTTCAGAAAAGCATTAGGAACTTGTATGCGAGTCTGCATGCCACCTTTTCTTCCAGCAAAATAAATTACTGCTAAATTGCCGAGTAAATAAGCCCATTCGTGGTTTTATTTACATTAATCCATTTACTTAAAGAAGCCTAATTAAGAACTTTTGCTTTAAAATTTTACTAATGAAATAGTAGTTAAATAAAAACAGCAGTGACTTCACACCCTCCCCCTTGCCACATTTTCTCTGAAAAAAATTATATGGATCCTTAGTCTCAAAGAATTAAACTTACAGAAAATTATTACAATTCCAAATTAATCAAAAAAAAACAACCCACGTAATCTTAAGGATGGCAGCAAAGAATTTCACATCCACTCCATTTTTAAGCCACTTATTTATATATCTATTTTGAGAGTAAGGCCCATGTTGTGCAAAGAAAAAGTTTATACCTCCAACACATTAATACATTTAACTATTTTAAAACTGTAGTTATCAATCCCTCTAAACCAATGTGCAGCATATTAGCAATCTTATGCATATGCCTCAAACAGATGCAGTTGATGCCCATACCTAAAGGGGTAATTGATCGTGGTTGTAGATGAGTCTCCCACGTGTGAACTATGACTTCGCAGGGACCATCGATAGTCTGTAATTTAAAAGTTAAATGTCTGCAATAATTTCTTTTATTATATCTGATTTTCTACCCGTGAAGCTGTTTGGGATGGTTGTGAACTAAACTTACAGATTTAAGAAAAAAAGAAGAAAGAGAAGGAGAGGGGGATAGAGAAGAGAGAATGAAAAAGAAAACAGATCAGGCTTGTTTCTTACCCCTGCAACTGCTGATGATGCTATCTGATGTGTTGGGTACACATATGACAAAACTTGTGACAAAGTCTGACAGGGTGGCGAAGTTACATGGAATTATTAAATCTTTACTGCTTACAGCTACTCCGCTGGACTACTTTAATTTCCTTCTCATACAAAAACAACAAAGTGTCTCTGAACTCATTAAGCGTGCTTGCTTTTTTCTTAAGATACTAAAGCAACAATTTATGAAAAAACATATCCCACATCTCTAATTCCAAACAGCACTCATCATCTACTCATGCACTTAACAGTTGCAGGGGTAGGTTCTCCCTCAAAATTTGCTTGACTAATTCAAAGTCTATAAAACACACTTATTTTAGTTGTGGTACAGAAGAGCAAATTATTTACCATCTAATTAAAACATAAATACTTGGAATTTTGCTGCCTCAGAAGGAAAAAGACACTGATACTACCCAATTGGCCAGCAGTGAAGCCCCTGCAGTCTATTCCATTTGGAGCAGGATAAATTAGATTCTCTCACCAAAAAAAGATTACTGTCCCTTAAAAGACTACATTTGTTGACAAACATGGCGAAGACTCAGATAGATAATCAGAACAATAACTCAATCTCTTCTCTCAGAACAATTTAAGTTTGAAATAGCTTTCTAGGTTAAAGCTTTCAGGTAACCACTGGCTAGCAACAGAAAGAATATGCCTGATTCCCAGCTCAGTCACCCTAAGAAGTTTCCCTTAACATTGCGTGGTTGTTACTATCAGTCATAAGAACCACTATCAAATAGCTGTAGAGTTTGTCATTTTGGTGTTTTGGGCCTAAGTAATTCTTATTTCCAAAAAGACTTGCTACAATTGCCAAAGTCATAAGCTTCAACACCAACTTGTCCCAGTACTTCAGGTTCTTGTTTAAATAGATTTCGGATCAACAGGGACATCCAGACAAGCTTCAAACTCAGCAGTATAATTACACAGTACCATAATGCTTTGTTATCTTACAGCTCACCAAATAAATTCTTTAGCAGCAGATGGGATTTCTTGACATAGATCAAATACGTTTAATCTATTATGCTTTTGAATGAATTAACATCAAACGCCAAATATTTAAAAAGTGCTCAATAAGACAGGTTTGCTCTGTGAGTCTTAGCTAAAAGCAATTTAATTTTTCTAATGAATTCAGAGGCATCTATACTTAAGGGTCATGTCAGAATAAAATACATATGCTTAAAGTTCTGCTTTAAAGATAGAATGCATGTAAATATAAATAAAATGATATTATTGTTTTCAGTTTATTCCTGTTATAGGGCAGTTTTAATTCCCATCTTCTCACTGCTGCCACAATGATCACTCCTATGGACTTCTAGAAAAGTAAATAATGAGAAGCATCTTCCTCCCTCTTTACAGCAGATCCACACTTGCATGTCACAGTCTCAGTTTCCGAAGCTGAAACCTGTGTTTGCCAGCAGGGAGGCTACCATTTCCTAACACTATGCAGGCCTGCAAGCTCTCCAACAGCGACTCCCATGAACACATACAGAACTTGTAGCTTGTGAACCTGGGCAATGCAAATCTGTCCTAACATGGATTAAGATGTTTTCTTCAAAAGGTAAGCAAAGGTTTTTCCTTGTAGAAGCCCCCAATATATTGTATTAAAATACCAATACCAGTCTATTTCTTACACTTCTGTAATTGTACATTTTAATTCTAGCTTCTAAAATTATGAATGAGACTGAGTAACAGTATCCCAACAATAAGCACAACACGCTGGATACATTCAGCAAAATTTCATCCCCTGAAAGGAATACAGTGGGCTGATTAGGCATTTAATCCCAGGAACCCTCAACACTTTCCATACTAATAAGAGCCAAGCAAAGCTGCCTGGAAAAAAGGGGCAATGGATTAGAGAACAGGCACAGACATGACTGAGAGCCCTCTCACAATCCCTGCTCAGACCGTCTTTGTGTTTATAGGCATTTATATAATATTTTAATTACAAATAACAGAAGTCATTGTTACAATGAGGTTAAAATACTGATGTAATTTCAGTGGCATATGCTGACCGCATTTGAACAGCCCAGTTCAGATCAGCCTGTAGCAGAAGTATATGATGTGTCATCAATATTCATGTGTCATCAATATTCATTCATCCATCAATAGTCATGTCATCATATTCATATTGGGTAACTTTTTGTTACCCAAAAAGTCAGCCTCTGCTAAGACAGTCTTAAAAGGGCACCTATCCAAATGTCACATCAAGCATCCCAGTGGGCAGTACACTGAGATTACAGTAAGTGGCACTGTATGACATGGATCCCTCTCTACTAACACACAGAATTTTTTTTTTAAAAGCAAATACATAAAAATTATTTTGCTTGATTTATATTTAGCTGAACATCTGATGCAATTTTGAAGGTCTTAAAGGGTAAAATGCCTATAAAGAATAATGTTCCAGAGGTTCAAAGCAGTCTGATGCACACTCTGCATGAAGTGCTTGGGTGCTCAGTACAATTAGAAAATGAAAGCACTTCCATGGATGTTTAAATGATTATTTAGGAGGCCAGTTCCAAAATCCCTGATCCAAGGCAATACAACAGAGTAGGCACTGGGGGGCTTAACTGCTGATGTTGGATTTCTGACAAAAAAGTCTCTGGATTTCTGCACCATGAGAGACAATAATTAAACACAAAACCAAACAATCAACCAAAGCCATTCAGCCATTGTAACTAACTTTGCAAGGCAACAGCACATATAAGTCACCTGCCAGGAAGTCCTGGGCTAAATAAAGATTTTATAGCTCTAGTATTTCCAGTAACAGTTTAACACACAATCTGCTATCTCAGCACAGTCACAGTAGAGGTGTTCCTTTGTTATTATCAGGTTAACCATGGTTAACATGGTTAAGTCTAGCAAAAGCTTTTCTAAGGTATTCTGATATTATAGAAATTACTGAGCCTAGACCTAAGTTTAACTTTTATTACTATATTCCAGGCACTAAATGGATTTGATTTATTTACATTTTAGAAAAGTAAATTTAAGTCTCATTTGAAACCTCTATAAATAAACAATATTTTCACAAGTGTGAAAAGTGTTCACCAATCCAGGTTTAGAAGTCCTGCTACAGGCACGGATAGCTTAGTTATTTCACACTTTCCTTGAAAGAAATAACCCTAAACTTGTATGCTTATTTACTGTTGGAAAAACAAATATAGAACATAGCTTAACAGAATAAGGTATGTATTTTCCTTACTAAGGTTTTCAAATATGCATCATGCAAACAATACATATCAAAGCATTCTCCTAAAACATGTAACATACACAAGACAAATTCCAGACAATGGGGTTTTGGTTCTCTCCCAACCCCCAAACAAACAGAAGGTATGTGTAGAATAAAACATGGGAAGATCCTCACAGTAAGGTAACTGGTACTGGCCTATGTTTAAGAAAAGAACAAACCTTGAGCAAAATAGTTTAAATTACTGTCTTATTTCATCAAGTGTATGTATTTACTTTTCTTTTAAAATGCTTAAGATTACTCTTATATTATCATTAAAATGTTTACAACATAGTAAAAGCTCTTGATATGCAGGAGCCAATACTTGCACCAATTTTATAGTAAAATGTTCATTGTATACACATTTATTTGTATTCCTACAAATATTCTATAAATTTTAATATATCATGTAGAAAAAAATCCCACTGTTTACATATCCAAAATCTGTTAACACCAAAATGCTTCAGTGCAAACAAACCAAACTTCCCCTAACATTGTACTATCTTTCAAGCAAAATAATTTAACTGAGATGAAATTATGACTTTTTTTTTTAAAGGGAGGTGAGAAAAATACTTTCTTTTTTTTTTTCCCCAAAATGTGAATTATTATATGTATTGTCACATCTAGTCTGTAGCAATATTTTGGATAATATGGGAACTATCATTTCTCTGTGTAAACATGTATCACCCCCAGCTTTGCCACCATGTCCATCTCAAGCATCTTCAAAGATGCAGTTGATATAGAAAGCAAGGAACAGTAACTTCAGCTGGATCTGTCTTCAGCATGATTTACTCAATTATGTGGTGTCAAATTCATATATTCAGACTCTAACATATATTTAAGATTAAACATGTATTTAAGTTATCCTACTACAGGCCATGACACAAAATTGCATTGATATAAAAAGCTAACAGTGTCTGAAGGATCATATATTGCAAGCCTATCAAATTTAGGAGATTAATCACATGCAATGCCTAATGAAAAAAATTACTGAAATAAATATATTCAGAAGAATTTAACTTAGAAGTATCTTTTCCTTATCAGAGTTGTTAATGCTGAAGTCCTCCATATACTGTCTCATTTGCACTATACTGTGGATTATATTCCTGTTAGAACAAAGGGATACTGCTTTTTCATTGTTTTTCAAAAAATTTACAAAAAGAGGAAGAAAACATTGTAGCTGGAATTCTTTTCTTCAAAAGACTGTATGTTATGAGAAAAAGTCCTGTGCACTTAACCGGTACAGGCTAGACACCGCTAAGTGGATAACCATGTACCCTGGCAATTCACATACTTTGTTTTGTAGGATGGTTTTCTTTTTGCCTCCTTTTTATATACAGTAGCTTTTTATGCTGGTATTCCATAAAATTTATACTTACCTTGGCAGACTCTGCATCACACAGTACATAAAGCGTGCACGATACAGAGCACCTACTTAAAGAAACACACTCACCAATACATATTGTAAACTTTTTCAAATAATAAAATGGAAATTGTGTTGTCTATGAGGGCATTTTCTACCAATCTGTTCTCACTAAGTGTGCTTTTTCTAGTGCACTATTGCTTACATTTTAAACTCATGGGCATTTGTGAAAAATATGAGAGTCCCATCAGAGCTGATAGGCTGTAAGAACTGATCTACTTTTGGCCTCAGTCTGACCTCAGAAAAATAAATCTATTATTGGCCATCCCTTCTTTTGCCTCAGAATAACAATTTAAACATCAGTTTCAGATTAGACTAGTTCACATGCTGTAATGAAAAAACAGAATGAAGTCTCTTGTGTTTCATTTAAAATTAGTATCTTTCACTCAAATGATCTCTGTCAAATATTTTTCTCAAAGATGCAGTTGATATAGAAAGCAAGGAACAGTAACTTCAGCTGGATCTGTCTTCAGCATGATTTACTCAATTATGTGGTGTCAAATTCATATATTCAGACTCTAACATATATTTAAGATTAAACATGTATTTAAGTTATCCTACTACAGGCCATGACACAAAATTGCATTGATATAAAAAGCTAACAGTGTCTGAAGGATCATATATTGCAAGCCTATCAAATTTAGGAGATTAATCACATGCAATGCCTAATGAAAAAAATTACTGAAATAAATATATTCAGAAGAATTTAACTTAGAAGTATCTTTTCCTTATCAGAGTTGTTAATGCTGAAGTCCTCCATATACTGTCTCATTTGCACTATACTGTGGATTATATTCCTGTTAGAACAAAGGGATACTGCTTTTTCATTGTTTTTCAAAAAATTTACAAAAAGAGGAAGAAAACATTGTAGCTGGAATTCTTTTCTTCAAAAGACTGTATGTTATGAGAAAAAGTCCTGTGCACTTAACCGGTACAGGCTAGACACCGCTAAGTGGATAACCATGTACCCTGGCAATTCACATACTTTGTTTTGTAGGATGGTTTTCTTTTTGCCTCCTTTTTATATACAGTAGCTTTTTATGCTGGTATTCCATAAAATTTATACTTACCTTGGCAGACTCTGCATCACACAGTACATAAAGCGTGCACGATACAGAGCACCTACTTAAAGAAACACACTCACCAATACATATTGTAAACTTTTTCAAATAATAAAATGGAAATTGTGTTGTCTATGAGGGCATTTTCTACCAATCTGTTCTCACTAAGTGTGCTTTTTCTAGTGCACTATTGCTTACATTTTAAACTCATGGGCATTTGTGAAAAATATGAGAGTCCCATCAGAGCTGATAGGCTGTAAGAACTGATCTACTTTTGGCCTCAGTCTGACCTCAGAAAAATAAATCTATTATTGGCCATCCCTTCTTTTGCCTCAGAATAACAATTTAAACATCAGTTTCAGATTAGACTATTTCACATGCTGTAATGAAAAAACAGAATGCAGTCTCTTGTGTTTCATTTAAAATTAGTATCTTTCACTGAGATGATCTCTGTCAAATATTTTTCAGTGAAAAAAAGGCTAGTCCAACTGACAAAATCTTACACACTCTTGACAGTAATTTAAAATATTTAAAAGATATAGACCAGATGATTCTATAACTCCTTTACACTTTTAGTTACAGCTTTCATACTCCCAATTTCAGTGAAGAACTAAAGGCCAGGGTGAATAGCTACAGGATATTAATAGAGTAAGAAAGACAGCAAAGACAGCTTTAAATGGGTTATTTCTAACAGTTATTACTTGTTATTAAGAAAAATAGTTAAAAAGTAGCTGCTTATTTTCGTAAATTAGTCCAACTTTTTTCTGGATACAGTCTCATCCCTAGTCTGAAGAACTTCCCCCTTACCCTAGTACGATTTCTACAGACCAGTATACTGCCACATACATTCAACTCACATGCAACTTTGCCATCAATACCTGTAAAAACACATTTGTGTCTGCCTCTTGTCGTTCCCTCACACCCGCACATGGCTCCAAGTCATGCAAATACCTATATACAAACCTAGAGAAAACACTGGAATGCCCCATTCCTTGTCTTACCTTTTTACTCCAAGAGATTAATGTGATAATTATGCAGCACAAAAGCTAGTTAATACTTCTCATGCTTCACCAAAAAATCTGCAGTAATTTTAAAAACTGTAGTAGATGAGGCAAATTTAAATACACCTGCTCACACTAACCATTTTTCTCCTGCTATCACTTGCTTCCATGCTAGAGATCCTTGCTCTGTTGAAGTCCATATTCTATTGTAAGTGTAGAAGTTATAGCCCCACTATAACTAATGTGAACTTCACCACATCATTTAAGCTTTATAATAATGTCAGGCATTTCAGTATCACCGGAATTTTTAAAACACTAACACTAGTAAAAGAGAGAATACAATTTAACATTAATAATTAAAGTTAACAACATATGGTCCTGTATTTCCAGAAGTGAACTGCTTGTATTGCCACAAGTGTTTTAATGTTTCATATGTTGCAATTTAAGATTTATTTCTAAAAACTCAAGTTTAACTCAGAAAATCCTTTTTACTTCAAGTAAGAGAAAATTTTTCCTAAGGATGAGCCAGCTTAAAATAGAAAAGGTTGTACATACCTTAGGTTCTAGGAAGTACCCTTTAAAATACCGATACCGAACAGGAACTCCTCTAGGAAGCTCTACAGTAGCTTTCCATAATTGACTGGGGAGGGGGTGGGGGGGGTGGGACAAAACAAAACAAAACCAAAACCATTTCAAAATACAGCCTAACAGCCACCTCAGACATATGTCTGTCCTAAGTGCTATTCTAAAATAAAGTTTAGTGTATTGCTGCAAGAAAGGTTTTTACAAGGTAACTTAGCCAAACACACACAAAGCACAATAAATACTTCGAACTGAAATAGCACTTTCTAAGCTACAGATCTGAAGTGCTCTAATGGAGCAAGAATTCTCATCGTCATTTAACAGATGGGGAAAACATGATGATGTAATTCAGGGACTCATCCAAGATCACACAGCAAGTCACTGCCAGAATTATAAATATGTCCTGCGAGTCCTATTTTCCTGCATCATACAAACAGCGATAGGCAGGGCACCATTTTAAGAAATCACTGAATTCCTCCACTGCATTTAAACTTTCTTCATGTACACTCATCTTTATATACACACAAACCACTTAAGAGTTTTAATGCAACTCTCATTTTAAATAATCTTCTCGCCATCTCTTTATAGCCATAATAACAACTTGTATAGGTTAAAAAGAAAGTAAACACTAAAAACATTTCCTGTATCATGTTGTATAGTTATGCGACTGAGAATTATCCATAGCAGTTTCTTATTCAAAATGTCTACAACTAAACTACTGAAATATGCCAGCCACAATGTAGAAGCATCATCTGTAACTAGAAAAGCATACCCAAGTTAAACATTTTCTTAGACACATTCTTAAGCATTCAAAATGTTCAAGGGCAACACAAGACATTCTGGAGAGTTTTACTAACAGTACATGTAGCTCAATAGTTTACAAACTCAAAGCCAGAATAAATTTGTTGCTCCAGAACTCCAGCTACTTCAAAGGGAACAAATAAAAAACCCAAAAAACCACAACTTACCGATCGTCAGTTTGGAGAACCACTGCAACTTGTGGATTCCAATTTCCCAAAGCACTGCAGCTCCCACATATTGCAAAAACCTCTCCTAAAAAACCCCAAACAAACAGAAAAACTCCACAATCATCATAACTCAAACCTATATGGAATTAGTAAGTACAGCCTAAACGGTCAAACCTTCAAATACTTTAAACACCGATCCAAACTCCCTCTTTTTGGTTCAGAAAGGAATTTCCCCCTACCCAAAATTACAACGGTGTTTTCTTCTCCATCTTTAAGACAGACCACACTGAGAGGGACTACTGACAACCCCAGCCCTTAAAAGGGTTGGTTTTCAAATCCTCCTGCAGTAATACTGTTCAAAAATTTCTGCAAATGCAGCAGGCAGATTTTCACTGTAAAATGCTTATTGTCAAGATGAAACAGGTTTTTTCCTATATACTGTATAGGGTGGGTTGGTTTTTTAAATATATATACACACACAGTACTGCAGTAACATACGTTTCTAAAACCAGCATTCTCTGAAATTCATACCAATAATCTAGAAAACCCAGACAAGTAAGAGGTTGCTAGCATCATTATCAAGACAACACATCCATTTAATTTTATTCCTGTGAGAAATAAAATTAAATTTTGCTGCTATGCTTTCTGGTTTTTATTGGATATAAAAGCATAACACACAAAAAAACCCCCCAACATTAAATTGTCACACTCTGTCTACCCTAACGCATACATACATATGCAAAGAACTCAAAAGACTACAATAAGGTAAGAATGCTTGATTCTGGGATATCCAGGAGTTAAAGTTAACATTGCAACTTATCCTTGTTTTTAATACAAAACCTCTAGAGATATACACACACACACACACTGTAAGAACAACAACAATGATAAATACAAACGGAAAGGACAAATTAGTATCTTGCTTTTACAGAGTTTCAACAATATTTTTAGACACAAGAAAAAAATCCATTGTAGAAGGAGAATATGTGAAGTTTTAAAATATATTTATGCACCATCTGCTTAACCTTTTAGTCTTGCTATGCAAAATGTAAGAACTACCAGAGTATTGGCGCAACTTCTAAATAAAATGTAATAAAAAAAACAAAACTGAAATTTACTTCAGCCTCTAACAGGAAATGCCTAAATGTAAAGTTTCAAACAAAGTCTCCCTTAAACCAAAGTAGACAAGAGGAAGTTCAGCTAAAGTTAAATTAGCCCCTAATATGGGGGGGGGGGGGGGACACGACACGCCACAATTCTTT